CAAGTTTGATGGCAAAAATGTGGTTTCCTATTGATAAAAAATTATCTACAAAGTGCGACAAATTTAGACAGGCCTTATAATCTCGCCTTGCATGGCTCAGATTCCGCTAGGGGGCCGGTGATTCCGAGCCGATGTCTGGATGAGAATGGGGGGAAAAGTTAAATTCGCTGCAAAAATCAACTATCATCTACAACTTATTCCGAAAACAAACTTGCTTTCATGTAATTTAGACACCAGTCGAAACTGGTATATCACGAGAAAATCTATTTTATGTCTATCGTATTAAAATATTGCCTACTACTTCCAGGTTCCCGTGAACAAAATCCATTTTGTCCGAAAACATCCATGCTTTACTCCAAAGTAAAGTTACTAACCTGGGCTCAGAGTTGGCTCCGCATGGGTCTATTCAACTATCCAATTCTCTCTCTCTCTCTCTATATATATATATATATATAGCAGCGGATCTCTTTCCAACAGTAAAGGAAGGCACATGTCGTAGTTCGAGTACCCTTTTGCAATGCTCAGCGATGGAATGCGCTCTCGACACGCATGGCAGTGGGCGAGACGAAGGTTAAGGCAAGTCTTCGCTTCAATTCACCGTGGCAGAACAATTGGCAAGTGGCTGCATCATAAAACCACCATTGGTGCATAGTTGGGACTTTGTTAGCACCTCATCGCACCTTTTCACTGGCGCTAGCCTCTGGCACACTAACGCAAATGGTGCAAAAAGCCTAAAGTAGCATTGTTGGGAACAGGTTTTGTGTCTGCGAAAATGTTTTCAAGACGCCTAGACTCCATAACGAAAGTGTACCGAACCCCTGATTGAAAAGGATGGCTTTTTATGAGCCAACTTGATTTTTTATCCAGAGTCAACATGAGAGGAAGAAGTGCATCTTAAACGATTTTATCCTGCACTCACACACACACACACACACAAGCATACACGTGCGTCGCAGGGCAAGCGTGTGAAAGACGGTGCGAACAGATCAAAAGCTCATCTACTCGATTATCCCGCTGCCGGTTCCGAACTTGGCATGAGTGACGTTGATGTTTATTAGAAGTGACTGAATGCCTCTACCAAAGCCTCGCGCCGCCTCTGCCGGCCGATCTTGACAGACTCCCGGACAACGGTCCCCCGCCTTGACACCCACCTTTGGAGTGTCATTCACCTCGGAAGTACAGAGCCGAGCAGATACAAGGGGTATGAGGTGTGGGGGTGTGGGTGGGGAGTACGGCGACATTTTGTCCGGATGAAAAGCTCGACTGACAACAGCGTTGCGAGTCGGCGAAGCAGACGGTCTCGAGGCTGTGGTAGGCAGGCGACGAAAGATGCCAGGAGACCGGAGGCGCAATAGGGAGGAGGGTGGTCGCGACGGGAAACACTGGCAGTACATTGGGGTTGTGGACACAATTCAATTTGCCCACGGTCATCCAACAGAAATGGATGCTTCTCTTGTGTGTGTGTGTGTGTGGGTGGGTGTGTGGGTGTGCGAGAGAAGATGGCCGCCTAATTGAATATACTCCAGTCGCCAAATTCTCTCGGGCATACGTAGTGCTCAGCCCACGCAAGCCTAACGAGCTGGCGAAAGGTCTGAGTTCTCGAGGCGTAGGAGCGGGAAAAGTGTACAAGCGCTGGTATTCGTAAGAGCCCATCTCGTGGAGGGCGGTAGGATTAGGTTTAAGGCCTAAACGGATTGCGGAAAATGTGGCAAAATGATGCAAGAGCTTGGAAGGAGACCAGCCCAACGGAGAGGAGAATGGAGACTTTGCGCGAAGGGAGTCCGCGGAGCGGAGGTACGGACGGATGGACGGAGCAACAAGACTGGCTC